TAGTGCATGTGAAATTTCGCGCTCGTACACGTAGACGTGCACGTGCAAGCTTGCGACGTGACATGTGAAAGTTGAAAAATGTTCAACTTTTGTTGCTGTCGCTTAGCGTACAACCAATCAGGGAGGGTTTCATTGACTGACCAATGAGCGGAAAGTATGCTACACACTGCAGTTAGCTAACAATTTCACCAAGTGATTACTAAAAAGCTTTGTGGGAATTTGTTGGCGCCAGGGTGAAGTTATTCGGTAAGTTTTTCCTCATAAAATTGTATCTTGGTGTGTGTTTGTTTTTTAATATCATTAGCATCGCAAGATTTGTTTAGTTTATACATCCATAATGCACACCCCCCTTTTTTGTGAACCACCAATAACCTTTGCAAGAGGCAGTAGAAGAACCAATCAAATTTTGTGAAGACAAGCGACCTGAGAGCGTAATTCACAATGCTGCCGTCGCTATAGCGTCCCGTGTGTCGGGTTTCACCCTGGCTGCGATGACAGCCGTTAATCGCTGTGGGTTGTCGCTCCCCGTGTGTCGAGCCCATTAGCGGGTAGAAGCAAGTAGAACATGTTTACAATTTTGACGTTAGCAGAATGTTGCTCTTGGATTAGCTCTAGAATTGATTGACAGAGGAAAAGTGTTACTTGTTCAAACTTCCTCCTGGAGAGAGGCACTTTTGTATTGGAATATGAGCACACTCCCCCGTTTCCCAACTGATGTCTGGGGGTGGGGCCCTGGTTGGGGCACACCATCGGGTGGGGGCCTGGACTGATGGTGAACTAGGAGCTTGTGGGGGGCGCAGGGGGTGGGGCTTGCACTCTGGCTTCTCTGGAGCTGCGTGGACTCCCGGGATGTGGCTCCTGGTTGTTGTGGTCGGCCCGCTGGTCGAGGTGGTCGCCGGGTTCCGGCGGATGTCAGCTGGGGGTGTACCCCTGGCCATTGGCGGTGGTTGGGGGATAGTCAGGGCGTGGACTTGCTGGGGCAGGGGTGGCCGGTCGGGTCGGCGCGGTCCAGGCCAGGACTTGGCTGTCTGCTCCTCTCCACCCCAGAACAAATGGGTTTACCTCCTGGGTTCGGGTGTGGGCTGCTCTCTGCGGGGTGTGGGGCCATAACCTGGACCTGGGGGTATAGAATATGTATCGGGAGTGTGAATGTAGTGTGATGTCTATATTGTATGTCTTTGAATGAGTGGGTGCGAGGATGAGGGTGGGATTGTATGATTGTGTTTGTGTATGCGTGGGTATTGTCAGGCTGGGACGTGGACTTCCCCCTCCCCTGGTTCGTTTGTCACCCCCATCCCAGACAGCCCTCTGGTGGGGGTGCCTTGCCCGCTGGTGCGCAGATGGCTCTTGGGGTCTGGGGCTGGGTGCTCGGGTGTGTGCTGCGCCCGGCCTGGTGGCTGCCTGTCGGGGCTTGGGTCCTCTAGCCCTGTCGACTCTCGGCTTGGGGGGGGCTGGGGGCCGGGCCCTCTGTGCCAATGCCCGTGCTTGCCCTGGCGCAGCAGGTGCCGGCAGGAGCCTGCGTGCTTGTCGCTGCGGGCCATTGTGGGGCTGCTGCGTGTGGTCGCTGGTGGGGTTCTCCAGGGTCTCCCTTATAGTTTGACCTGGGGGTGGGTGTGCGGCTCTCCTCGCGTAGGTGTACCTGGATGCCCAGTGCTTGGGGTTCCTCCTGGGGTCTTTGGTTCTGGCCTCCCCTTGTGTCTGCCTTGTGCCTTGGAGGTTGGCTCTGGGACTCGCCCACAGTCACTATTATACATTCCGTTGGAGAAATCCTGTGAATTTATGCTTGCTCACAACCGCACGCAGACAGGTGTTCACATCCGAGAGGTTCTGAACGATCACCAGGTATATATAGATGGGTGTTTGTTTATCTGTTTAATGTATATACAGTATGTATGCTTTTGCTAGGTTTTGTAACCTTAATTCTTTGCAGGTGTGCAGACAGATGTTGGATATATTGTATTGTTTTCTTGACTTATATCTCACATATCATCAGTTCTTTCTTTCACTTTTTTCCATTACATTGTAACTTTTCTTTCCTTTCTTTCTTTTTTCCTTTCTTTCTTCTTCTTTCTTGTCTATCTAAAAAAACAACTGTTGATGAAGAAGCCAAGATACTAATATTCAGATATTTAGTATTGCTTTATACTGAAGTGGTAAAAAAAAAAAAGGAATATGAGCACAGGGCACAATATAACAACATGGCAAAAACGGTGATAAAACCATGGTCTAACTTTCTTGTCGATCTTGGGAAAGGCAGAACTTGCAAACACTTCCTGGAGGGAGGTGAAGAAGAACCGAGCAGACATACCTGATGGTTTCAATCAAATTATCTGCCACAGTTACAGAAGCACTTCCAAAGAGCACTGCGACAATAAATAAAGAATAAAATAAAGATAAAACAGAAAAACCACAATGACTTTTGTTTTGTTTTGTTTTGCTGAAGCCACTGTGGATGGTCCGTTCACAATAGCCCACAGAATGAGGGACACACTGAGATGGAGACACACACCTGAGCTGAACCGAACAGACCCAAACTGAATAGAGTAGAACCATGCTCTTGGAAAAGGGGCTTAAGAGTTGCTTTAATAACTTATGAGTAGACAGTTTTTATTGATTGGTTTGACCTGTTTGAAGGAACTGGGAACCTCTCAGTCTTCGTCATCACCATCTCAGCAGAGCAGAAGACACCTCTTGCAATGTGTTAACCCATTCTCATTGGATTGACACAGTTTTCACACCTTTTTGCAAAACAGTTAATGCAGATGTCATTCAAGAAGTCCAAACTCCCTTTTAGCTGTCAGTATGAAACACCAAAAGCACCTGTTTGACACTTCTTCACAGAATTTTTCAATTTGCAATCAGTCTGCAGGCCTGTGTTGTTCTCTTATACTCAAGTAATGTTTTTTTTTCCTCATCTGTCGTTGTGTAGTTTTTAGTTTTTCTGTAAGGGTTGCGCCTCCTCACAATGTCTTCATGAAGATGATCCTTGCTTTGTGCAGGGTTTGTTGAAGGTCAGTGGTTGCATGACCCAGTTTGTTATGTTGTCTTCTTCTTCTGAATGGTTGTTCTGAACTGCAATTTCATTGTGCTGTGTACAATGACAATAAAGGTCTAATCTAATCTAATCTAATCTAATCTAATCTAATCTAATCTAATCTAATCTAATCTAATCTAAAGGCCTACTATAGATTTTTGTTCTTTACTGTAAAAGACTGTGTTTTTTATTTACCTAATTTCTTACACAGTAAAAGATTTTATTTTTTATTTCCATGTATTCTCTGTTGGAATACAGTTTTTATTGAATGTTTTTGAGATGGTGATGATGAAGACTGAGAGGTTCCCAGTTTATTCAAACAGGTCAAAGCAATCAGTAAAAACTGTATTTCATTTGTCAGGCACAGTCTGAAAAAAGAAAGAAAGAATGTAATCAATAAAATTTGCATCTAAGCATATCTGCTTCTGGATGCATTTTTTGCAAGAGGGCAAATTTGACTACAAACAGCACTGGCATGTAAACTACTTACAGTCATAGGCTACAATGATAAGCAATGGTTCACTGATTCACACATGAGTGCTGTATTTTGTATTTTGTTGTCCACTGTGTACTGATTGTTTGGATGTGCTCATACATTGTGTCAAAGTTGAGTTGTTTGAAGGCAAATTTTGCTTTTGTTCCATATTTTAAATGTTTTGACACAGTCACTGCCTTTTGCAAACAAAATGTCATTTTGACCCCTGTGTCAATGTTTAGGCCTCTGCATTAATAGTTTTGAAAATGTGTTTTTTGAGTTGATGGCTGTGTCAAACCAGTCAATATAAACTGTTAATAAACTGCATCTAAAACAAGCAATTATGTGTAATCAACAGTGTAGAGACTCTAAAGATGTAACCCCTTAACTGTTCACAACACAGTTTTCATTTATAAATTTCATTACATTAAGGAGAATTTTAAAAACACATAAAAGTGGTAATTGCAAAATCATTGTTTCAAAAGTGTGCACTTTAAGTCTATTTTCATTACTGTATGTGAAGATGTTGAGGAAAGAGCTTAAGTGAAAATATTTCTTTTACTCATTTTGTTCCATTTTCTAGTCGAGTAAAAACAGCTGTTCCCTGTGCGTGTGCATACATCCCCTTGACTTCTGCTTTCATTAACCTCTCCGTGTGCTCTATCAGAGAGGGGGGACTCGGCTATAATAATATCCCTGTGACGACACACAGGTCAGGACCCTCTGATCCTGGGAGGGTAAAATATCTCATTAAGAAAAAAAGCCTCTGGGACACTAAAGCAATTTGGATTGCTCTATGTTCTCAGGAACAAATTAAAGCATTAGCCTAAACTATCGCAGTACTCACAGATGTTGATGCAGCCTTAAGTTCTTTGCATATAGTGAAAGCTCTAACAGTGACTCCCAAGGCTAAAATGGTAATCATAGAGGGTAACAAATGGACTGCATAATGTAAATTAAAGCAGAAGTCAAGAAAAAAATTATAATGCATTGTGTTAATTGCATTGTGTTAATGTGTATTCACAAGACATAAACCCACCACACAGTTCAGAAAGTTGAAAATGTGTCAGTTTTATTAACAAACTATTATTAAAGCAGTGAATAAACGTTTAATTCATGCAGTAGAAGTTGCTCTGCTACAGACAGCTCTCTCCCACAGATCTTCTTCACCATCTTTTTTTCCCACAATTTTATTCTGTTCTAATAAACTGAGCTTCCAGGGCTGTTGAGAAACCTCCAACAGCTTTATTCTGCTCTAATAAAGTGAACTCCCTCCATAACCAAATCTCACTCTGTGTAATATATACAAATATACACATATTAAAGCTGGCCTAGGTGAAAATGTTCACTTTTACCCCAACCCAACTTAGGTTTTGTTTTCTTTTCATTTTATGAAAATGTTTTCAGGAATTTAAACAAAAATGCTAAAACACCCATGTCCATCACTTAAAGTAATGATCCATCACTGTTGCAGTGAAAAAGACAGCCTGATTCAACCAAAACAATTCTTTATTTTTTTAATTAACCAATTCTGTCAAGTTTAAGGACAGCAAATAAAACACTAGAATCTGAAAAAATAACCAACAAAGAATAAAATCTCTATGGGGTTATTCAAACTATTTACAAAACAATATTTACACAGGGGAATCAACAGGTGAAGATGGATGTCAGGGAATGTCAACTCTGAGGAGAGAATAATTAGTAATTCATCCTTAAGAGAGATTCATTTTTAATGATTTCTCCATCTCTTTTTTTTCAGGTTCTGAAGATGATGTTGAATCCAAAGTTCCAGGGAATGCAGGTAGTTGTAGAAAATGGGTATGCTGGAGTATGACATCCTTAATTTCTGGTACAATCAAAGCAGGATGCCAATCAACAGAAGAAACTCAGTCAAAGGTAGTTAAAAAAACTAGTGTGATGTTTCCTGTTGTCACACCTGAAAGGAGACAAGCTGGTGATCAATGTGGATACTGACTTTCCACAGCTCCGCCTAGAGGCTGAATTTTTGACACTAGGCTCATTCCTTTCAGAAGAGGTGGCAAGGTGTGGCAGTTAAGAAATTAAGAAAAAAAAAGTTGTAATGCCACCACTCAATAATATAATGAGCTGGTGACATTAGTGTGCGATTGCCCACAGATTACAACAAACAGATTACTGAGGAAATGTTGATGACATGTCATCTTTAGAGATAGTTAAAGTGGGCCTATTCATGGGGGTCTTAGCAAAAGATAGGATCCATCTGTGGGCTATACAAAACATGTTCATTTGATTTAATTCACAAAAAGAATATCAAATAATGAATTTTCACCTTTTCAGTTCTTCCTGTTCTTCAGCTCTCTCCAGAACGTGCTGTAGTATGCAGAAGTTGCTATGGAAACCCCCCTCCCCTATTCTCCCTAATCCGTTTGTTTACTTTAGCTCTGCCCCGACATGGTAGAAGTTTCCAAAGTGAAATTACTTTCACAAACTACAGCGTTCTTTGGCAATATTGCTAGAACATTGTCATCAAAGATAAAAATAAAATTAATCCAGGCATCTCTGTTCTCTGTGGCTGCTGTAAAAACAGAACAACTATCGTCTTTTGAGGAAGTGGGCGGAGCTTCACCTCGGGTTGCCTCGTGAGGAGCAGCACCAGTGTTGCCAGGTGTACGATAATTATCGTATTTGTACAATAATTTTGCCCTCTGTACGATGTACGATCAATAATTCCAAAAATCCCATAATGTACGATAATTTGACTGTTTCGGAGTACGTAATTGACCTGACATGTTGCTCGCTGACATGAGAGGTGGCGCGTTGTGGAACACAGAGGTGCCGATTTAGCGACTTTCTCGCTATATTTACAGACTTTTCAGACCCTSTAGAGACTGTTATTCAGAAAAGAAACTAGTGAAAATCTAGCCACTCTTTTTCTGGTGTTATTGAGACTGAGAGACTGTCGTGAACGCATTTCTCCATTGTGCTGCTGAGAGCTCCTCCTTGGTCCCAGAGCACCGACAGGAGGCTTCTTCACACTGCGTCTCTCCCTGCTGCAGGTAGATATCCATCCCATCCAGACATGAAATAAATAATGCTACTGCTGACTGATCCATGATGGGATGTTAATAAAAACATTTATATGGTTAAAATAGATCCCTTTGCCGGTCCCTAGCCAATAGAAAGGAGGGTTAGAGCTGTGACAGTAAAGTAAAAAAATATATTAATCTGTATATATTTTAAAAAAGGAGCAACAAAAGAAACTTTATTTTTTGTTCTCTTGACAAACTACTGTCTCTAAATAAAAGGCTGGCCGCCACGACACAGTCACCAATGTTTTTATTTTATTTTACTTGTTTACCCTATTAAAACGCTACTGTTTAGGCCACCAGCTGGTCTAAGAATCAAACGTTCAAATGAGACACAAAAAGGATGATTCATATATTGAGTTGAATGTAGAATCTGTCTCTAAAATAGTTATGACAGTGTTTATTTATGTAGTTTAAAACATGTTTAACAACATGCAAATACACCAAAATGCAGGAAACAACACCTACTTCATTCAAAATTTTCTGGGGGAGAACCCCAGATCCCCCTCCCACATTATAGCAGTAAGGATAAATATAACAGTAGCACTTATGTGAAAGAAATAGTAACTGTAATATCAAAAAGAAAAGGTGGGACTGAGAAGGTGAGGAGTATAAGCAACATTTACATTTAATAAACATCCAGGTGTCATTCAGAAGCTATTTTTTAAAAGAAAAAAACTGATTTTGGAGGCTTGCAGATTAAATTTGCTCAGTATGCACTCAATTTATTTCTTTTCTAAACTACAATAATTTGTTATTGTCCTGATTTCATTTTAACTTTGCCTATTTTAATTTACATTTTATTATAGTCATTTTATCTAATATTTCCTTTTATATGCATCATTTCACCTGGCTCCCTGTTTTGTTCTTGTTTACAATAAAGCTTTTGTTAAAAAAAAGGACACTCAACAGTCAGATGCAGTGCTTTTTAACTTTATTATAAACAAAGAAATGTGCAGTTTGTTAGAATGTAACTTGGGTGTGTATGATAATTTTCCTCAAAATACGATAATTTTGAGCTGCTGACGCGATAATTCAACATTTCCCATCTGGCAACACTGAGCAGGACTCTGGTTTAGGCTGCTAGGTGACTGTTATTATGTCGTCAGAATAACGTGCTTTGAGAAATACCATGGTTCCAGATACCTAAAAATACATGTAATTACAGCTAAAAATAAAACGTCTGGGTGCATTTTTTGGTGTTTGGACTGCTACTCAAAGCAGTAGAGACCCAAAAATAAGTTTAAAAACATGAAAAAAGTGAGTTTTGCATAATAGGCCCACTTTAAGGAAAACTTTTAACCACAATAAGGATAACTAAAGTTCAGTTATTTACAAATGTTTTGTAAAAGACACAAGGGAGAAAATTGTCACATATTTAGAGCTTTGCTCTCCCCTCCAGAACAGTTGAGCTCTCTTTTGGTTTTGACTGCCTGCTTCACTTCTGAATACTCACATCTGAGCAGGAAGAGGAACTGGCTTCATCAGTGATTTATGAATGACCAGAGAAAGGATAAAAGTGGATTGGTCTGTGCAGCCATCTTATAAAACTCTTATGAAAGAGCCTATGATCAGTGCACAATCAAAGTAACAGAAAATGTTGCAAATCATTTGGTTAAAAAAGTCATTGAAAATAGTGAAAACTGACTCAAAGATTTTAAAGATATTTTTGCAGCCCCAGGAAAGGCTAAATTCAAATTGTTTGCACTCCAAGTACACACAATACATTTTAATAACAAAAAAGGTGAATTTTGTATATCCCCTTTAAGGGCCATCATTCCTTGACGTATCTGGACTGAGTATTGTCCTTTTCATAAAAGAGAGTCAAACAGGAAGAATATGAGTAAATGGAAAGTCCTTACTTTGTTTTAGCCACTAAACCATAAGGCTAATATTTGTCAAAATAAGACTCTGAACCATTCAGATACAATGCTGAAAGTAAAGAAAGAGGAAAACATTCAGCATCACCTCTGACCACAGATTTCCTTGTAACTGATGTGATTGACAGGAGATGTGTGCAAATGTGCTGAGTCCACAGGACATCTCATTGAATGATGTCACTAAGAGGTCATGTGATGACAGCCCTGAGTAATGGGTCACCAACCTGTGACCCTGAGCTAAATAAACACAAGAGATTTCCAGTGAATTCCTGTGTTTTGCCTTAGTGAGTGACAGACAGACAGACACTGGAGCTCATCCCAACAGTWATGACTGACTCAATAAAGAGCAATAAAAACATGGCAGTGTTGCTGAACATTTAATACTTCATCAAACTTTTAAATCCATTAAACACTACACAGCTGAGTTTTTATCTTCTCGGTAAGCATTATGACATAATTTCATGATAAATTAGGTGTCTTTATCCTTCCTGCGATGCAACATCACTCAGTGCTCTAGGAACCCTTTACCTCATGGGAACATGTGGTGCTTAGATGCAGACCAGTACTCAGAGACAGTCTGGCATTTCAGAGCGTCCAAGATCTCTGCCAGTAGCATGTCTTTAGGAAAAGCATCTTAAAGGATATTTTAGTTTCTGGCTGACACAATGTGCATAACCTCACAGTGGAAGATATTGAAATCATGTATATTGGATGTGTTTAAATCTTGCTTTGTTAAAGAAGAAACATAAGGTGTATTTGTTTGTTTAGTTTTTTTGTGTGTGTTATTTTTAATGAAATCTAATGTCATGACAAAAAAGCTCAAATACAACATTTTAATTCTCCATTTTGATTCTTTCTGAAAGAAATTTCCTGATGTTCATATGAGAATGGACTATGTAGGTAGCCTATAATCAGCGTTTGCCACAGTCATAGAAAGGTTTCCGTAATTTATTTAACCTTAAAGTAGCTCAATCCAAAACATGTTCTAAGACAACCCCCCACCTCTGCCACTATTATTTTATCTAATATTCAGTGTACAAGCAAACAAAGTTGGTTAAATTTGACTGAAAAAGTTAACTAATGTCTCACAAACATAGGCTATATTGATGAACAAAGTCAGATAATGACAAGTTAACTGACAGAATAAGTTAATGTTGACTAACCAAGTTAATTAGAACTAACTGTACATCATTAATGCTACTAGACAAAGTTAGGGTTTATTGGCAATACTGATAAACAAATTAACCTGTCAAACTATCATTTTTCAATTCCGGGGCTACTGTTGGAGTGCATATTTGTTGTCCGGTTATGCTACTGCATTCATTGGTTCCTTCTCATGTAGCTGACAATTGTGGGATAACTGGGTAGTTTGTGGTCATTCAAACTGTTGGATTTTTTCCTCTGTAAATAGTCAAAATGAACAACCCTAGTGAACCAACAAGAATCAGACAAATCAGACAAATAGTGAAAATTCAAAAGATAACGCTTTGCGCAAAGGGAGAGATTCAATGTGCCCGACTTAACAGCAGTTGGAAACAGCGAAGCTCTGCCCGTTTGAGGCAGCGTGATCGTATTTATTAACTTTCAGAAAAGAGGAGTGGAAAACAGCTACAGTTATACAAAATACAACTGGTTCGTTCAGACAATACAAAACAGAAAGTCTGGGAATATTCTGCAGAACTTGCAGCTGTCGGCGGTATTGTGACGGGCCAGGGTGAGAAAAAGGAAATAAGTGAAAATATTCCCAGCACCTGCTCCTGGGCTGGCATGAACATGCAAAAGAGAGCAAAGTTGATTAAAACTGTACACAACATGACTTGAATAAATTGTACATAAAATGAGAATAAATGAATAAAGAAAAATCATTAATAATAATCTGTAAGTTCTTTCAGCAACAAGGCTGCTGCTGCTGGAGTTTCTTATCTCTGATGGAATGCAGTCTCCAGTCCTCAGCTAGTGAGAGAGGAAACTAAAGAAATTTTGCTTTACTTGTTACTTTTTAACCAATTGGATAATCTTAATGAAACTTTCTGAAAGTAATAGTACATTAAAATCTTGAATAATAATAATAAAAACCTTTACACAAACATACATCATCTGAAGACTAGACTGTCTAATTTTGCAGCAGCTTTATGCAGCCTACCTGGACTGCAAAGGTTGTGGTCTGCATTGGCTTCGACCCCTGAATTGAGACAGACATATTAAAGTTAATGTTGACTAATGATAACATCTATTTAGTTAGCCTAATTACTAATAAAACTAGTTAAAGTTGACTGATATTAGTTGACATTTTATTAACACAACAATCCAACTTTTGACTAATTTGGTGATTTGTCTGGAGTCAATTGTCTCAAAAAACTCAGCTAACAGACTCTGGACTATATTTTCCTGTGTTCTATTTTCAGCCAGTATTGCAGTTAAGCTAATTAGCATATCTCTCATTTGCAAACAGACCCTTGGGTTGATTGAAAAACTGTGACTGTTTGCCAAAACTGTGGCCCACATTATGTAATGTCTTCATTTGAACAGACTCAACTTCTGCTTAAGTTGCCAAGATGGTTTTTTAAAAAAGTCAACAAATGGAAAAGCAAAAACACAACTATTTATTTTATTAAAGTGTAGGTGTTTTTACTCAGCTGTCTAAAATGGCACTGCTGCAGCAGGAAGGGAATTCACAT